TTTCTTCAAACTCTAGTTTCTCTCTGGAGATAGGGTGACTTGGACAGGATCACAGTTTATGGCAGAACATTTATCTCTCTGCCTCCAGAAGTGTGAAGTGCTCCCAACCTTTGAAGAGTGTTATATGTTGGGATCCATGTCCAGGTCTTTCTCCCTTAGTGATCATCACCAGCAGGCATTTCAGCAGGTTGAGCTGAGAAAGAGAGCAGGCCAATTCCACCAGAGCTACTTAAAAAAACTATCCCTCCTCCCCCATTCTTTCCCCATTCCTTTTAATCTGCACTTGGAGCCTGTTTGTTTGTGGGGAGTAATAAATATACTTTGTCAACCAATCAGTAAAATCTGGCCCCTTGTGTCCATATTAAGATGTGATGGAAAGTTCTCTTTTAAGTTTCAGTTGTAAGGGGAAGAAGCACCAAGCTTCTGTGGGTTCTCTTCCCTAATGTAGAATGGATGTTTTTAAAATTGATTTTACACTGTCTTTAAGAGGAGAATCTTATCAAGGTGGCATACTAGATTTGTTTTTTAAAAAACATGCAAACCGGCAACAAATGTGCAACAAAATACTTTGAAACCCTATAAATTTAAAAAAGACAAGGAAAAGAAAGCCCTGTTGCTAGTATCTGCCACTTGAGCAGATCTTTCAAGAACTGCTTCTCTTTCTCTGCTGCCCCCATCTCTGATCTCGTGTACCAGCCACCTATACATGGTCCCTACCTGCAGTAACTTTGGTTAGAGAATTTGGATCTCTGACCGACCATGAGTGTTGAGGCTGAATTGTCCCAGTTTCTGCATGAGGATGCAGAGACTATGGTCTCCCCTGAGAATACAGAGGTTGACTTAGTCTAATTTAAAAGAATGGCTTGGCTGGAGACGGCACACAAAAGCAGTGAGGGTATAGAATAAGATGCACATTTATTTCTGGGCTGGTTTCCCTGCCACTTTCTTTTGGATTTGGAGGGCTTGGTGTGAAGCTGGGCATTGTGTGGAACATGTACCTTTCAGCTAGCTGCAGCAACAGGGATTCCCCTTCCCCCTCCCCCTCCCCCTCCCCCTCCCCCTGCCTACTTCTGAAAGAGCTGGCTCATCCCTGCTGTCAAAAGAAGCCATTTCCTGAATGCACCAGCTTTGAGTCACTTTTTCAGCTCCCATTGGAGTTTTAACTCCTCCCTAGCCATGCCTCCGTGTCTGTGCGTGTACATAACGTAACTGTGTGCCGGGGTTGGGAGTGGGAAGAGAGAGAAGTGGCTGCTAAGGCACTCGATTAATTCAGCTGCTAGAGCTAGCGGACAATGTGGATTCTCTGCTCTTAACTGTAGCATAAGAAAGAGAGCCCTATTCAGCTCAAACTCCCATTTGTTTAAATTGCTGGTGGGTTTCATGAGAGCTCCCTAGCCCTGAGAAGCCGGGTGCTGGGTGCAGAGCTCAGGGGGCGCAATGGGGGGAGGAGGCAAGCCTGCGAGGGAGAAGGAAGTGGTGGCCACAGCGACAGAAGAAGTTAAAGTACTTAAGTTGCAAGGAGATGACATCAGCCACTTCCATGAGGTGGGCCACGAAGAGCATTTTGACAAAGAAACCGGCAACCCCAGGGAGCCTGCCTGATTTGGGCTGTGTGAATCCTCTCCTCACTCCTTTTAACTTTTTTGATACTAAAGAGTGGTTGCTGGGTTGCTGCTCCTGTTCTCTGTCTGTCTGTCTGTCTGCATGTGGGTAAAGCAATTTTAAGAATTTTTTCTCCTTCCTGGGGGGCATAATTTGGAAGTCTGTGACTTGTGTGGGAAAAGATTACATCAGTCACAGGGAGGGCTAGGATTGGTCTGCACTGTGTGGTTTGATTCACTACCTAAAAGATTGTAAGTAACCCTTTGAGTGAAGCTCTGAGAGAGTTGCCCGGCTCCCCCAGAAAACTGCACATACCATGGGAACTCTGTGGCTGGCTCAGGTACAGTAATCCATTTAAATTGTAAAGCAACTCAGGTGCTTCAGCTTGGAGTTGCAAAGGAAGAGCAGAGAACAAACCCTTTCAAGAGAGGTATCTGTTTTAAAATGCCATCTTGTTCTTCTGACTGCTGCCATGTACGTGCTATTGAGGTAAAATTCCTTCTCTCTTTCCCCCCCTCTCCCTAGTACATTACCTCAGTTATTTTCTTTTTCTTTAAAAAATAATTAGCACGTTTTCCTAGGAAATAGAACATGCCTCTGTGATCAGAGGCTAACACAGGGTTAAATCTTGACGCTGTACATTCAATCCTATGGGGAGCAGTTGTTGCAGTGTTAATACTGTTTAAGCAGAATAAGGCTGTACTAGGGAAGCATCAATCTAATTGGGGAGAGCTCTGTGATTGTAATCTCCTTTCATTAATACTTAGCATAAATTGTATCCATATTTAGTTGCAAGACAATGTTAGGCATTGAGGGGGGAGGGGCTGGAGGAGATGTGAATACTGCTTGCTATTGATCTTTTCAATTTAAACTGCAGATGGAACTGTGAAAAGTTAGCACTAAAGAAGATAGCAATATACTCAGTGGTTAGATTTTTAGCCAGGTTTTGCTTTAAATAATGAAGGGCAAAGGGCTTCAAACTGGAGGCTGAAAGATGATTCCCTACCCCCACCCCTAAATAAAATGTGTCTGAAGCCATGGTGTTCAATATAATCTTCCTTTTTAAACTTCTCCCTCTACAAAGAATTTTTGCCCGCTTCGTGTATTATTATATGTCTGCTTAAACTCTGCCCAGACTTCCTGGAGGGGTAGAGAGGCAGTGCAATCTTGCAAAATAAATTCTGTGTCAGAAACCTGGCATTCCAAGAGGAATCACATACAGGGCATGACCTTATGGGAACATAAAAGTGCCAAATATAAGTTTTTAGAAAAGGACATGGTTTCCTGAGAACCACAGGATTCCTTCCTTCTTTTTAAATCAAGTTTCTAGCTCTTACATGGAAATGGATACAAAGTTATATGTGAGTAAAATTAGTTGAAATTTGAGAAACCCAATGTGTGCATGCTGAATAAGGTTGGGCATGGGGCATGGGTGGGCATGGGCTTTGCATGTCCTTTGTAACTCCTTGCTTCTCCCATTGTCTTCAAAACCAGATCAATTGTTCTGGCTTCCCTAGTTTCCATCTATTATATAGGTCATGGAATTCTACTTTTTTTGGTGCAGAATTTTAAATGTGCCAATGTGCAGAGGTCAGCTTTACAGCACCTCGTACAGACAACACTGATCCAAATGTCTTGTTTCTTCTCTATTTTGAGTAATACAAGATCACTATTTTAATGTATTTCACATTTATGTTCCAGGATGTAAAAGTCTTTAGTGAAGATGGGACATGCAAAGTGGTTGAGATCCTGGCAGACATGACAGCCCGGGACCTCTGCCAGCTACTCGTTTACAAAAGTCATTGTGTGGATGACAACAGCTGGACCTTGGTGGAGCATCATCCTCTCCTGGGATTAGGTAGGGAGGAATCTGGAAAGGTTGCCTTGAAACTGAACATACCACTCATGCTAATAAATGGTTCCTGTTCTTCCAACTGATCTGTTATAAATCCATTCAAAGTACTTTATGATGCAGTTTATGTTATTTAAATGTGTGTGTCTGTGGGGACTGATTTTAATATACAAAAAATGATGAGGGTCATTGGTGAGAGCTGTCATGGCCATGAACCTATTTTGGGTCTACATTTCATTGAGGGCTTGCTGACAAGAGCCTCCTTGATCTGCTCCTCTTTCTTGCCCTGGTGCAGAGGGGTGTAACAGTGCTGGTGAGAAGCTGTAGCAGCAGCTGCCATTGCAGGCTTAGCCACTGTCGCTTTGTTCGGCCAATGAAAAGGTGGGAGACATGATGAAATGAGGAGGAGGAGGAGTTAGCTGTAGTGTTGATGATGGAGCACACTGACTGAAGGGCACTTCTTGAGAGTGTCTTGCACCTCAGAACCTGGAGCCTTGACTACAGAGTATGTTCAAAATATTCACATGTTCTGCCAATCTCACATAGGTTTTCCAAACACCATATATATGACACTCCATTGATTTTTAATCTACACAAGTGAATGTTGCCAAACACATTAAGTGACAAAATACATCATCAGTGTGTATTCGACTCCTCAAATTTTGTACATATATCATTGCACATACAATTTTGTTTGTACTGATGACTTTTTGTAGTGTATCTGTGATGATAGCCAATAGTTTATGCAAACATATTTGGACTCCCAGGAGATAGTTCAGTTTCCTTGTCAACCACCCAGAGAGCTTCAGCCATGGGGAGGTATAGAAATACAGTAAATAACAATAGCAGCAGCAGCAGCAACTTGACTAATAGTTAGCTGAGAGGCTTGGGTCCTGAGCAAACTGCATCTTTATGGTCTCTTTAAGACCAACCTGACATAGGTAAGAGAGATAATTCTTTGGACTTGGTTTCAGGGAGGTAAATACGGAAACACCAAGCTGCATCATTGGACGTTTTTACACATACGTTGGCACCTCTCTTTTCCAGGCAGTAGCTCTTGCACTTGGTCGTAATGAAGATGCCATGGTTATAGCTGGCAAGCTCAGATACTGATGTGTCTCTCCCTTATGCTGTTATTTTTTTCAGATTTATTAGCAGTTATTGAACTGTACAACTTTAACCTCTTACTCCGAAAAAAATATAGTTGTATAATAATCTCTCCATGTAATTTGGCATTATTAATCACTGATAGACAATTTCATTTAGATGAAATAAAAGATATGGTAGGTAAGGGAAAAAGTAGGCATGCAGTTACTGAAACTCGTTAGACCTTTGTGTCAGTGCTTTTTACATTTTGAATATACTTAGATGTATTTTAGAAACAGGGGCCATTTAATAGAGAGATCTTTTAAAGAAGAGAGGACATTCTCCATGCTTGTGATATCTTAAATGAACACCATTAACGAGAGATGTGTTGGATATAGGAGAGGCTAGATTCCTGGGTTTTGGAAATTCATGCAAGTAGAAAATACTTCTGTTTATTTAAAAAAAAGCTACAGGATTAATACAAAGAAGACATGGTAGAAGACACTTGTGAACTCACTAATGCTTATGGAAGAAAACAGTGTAACAGAATCACATTTGGAACTGCACACACACACACAAATAATGGAGCATGTTTTAAAAATCTGGGTCTGCTTTTTATATTCCCTTTCCCATCCGAGATCACCAAGATATTGTGTAAACAGAGGTTTTTCTCCATTGTGTCCAACATCCTTCTTCTGCCAGATTCATTCAGTGATGCCACAATTCAGTGTTTGTGACATCACAATAGATTCCATGGTTTCTAATTGTGCTGTCAAACTGTGCCGTGTGACATCTCTGAATGAATCAGGCAGGAGGCTGGTTAGGAAATCAAAAGCTTCTGTTTACACACAAATAATGTGGTAATTAATAATGATGGGAATGGGGCAATATACTTATCAGTCAGTATCCTGTTTCAGTTGTATGTTGAATTTTAGTTGAAATTCATTATATTCTGATGGCAAAAGAACCATTTAGATCCCAGACTTGTGTAATATGTAAATAAGTCTTTTATCCATACTCGTCCTTCTAGGATGAAAGAATGATTACCATATACAAGTTCCATAGTTGTATGTACCAAACATTTGTGGTGCTTGTTTTGCTTTAAAGGTGAATAGTCTGGTTTGAATGTAATGCTAAACCATGGTTTAACATTATGTGCATGAGTCTCTGGGCTCCTGCACTGAGGAGCTTTTGTTTCCATTTTCAATTAACCACAGTTTAATTTTATGTCTGAAGTCTAAAATGTGGTTTCTCTAACCAATGGCTTATTGTAATGATCTAGCTGCATAAACTATGGTTTGAAGCTGGTTTCTTTCCAGCAGCCCATAGTAAAACCTAAATGTAGTTTGTATTAATTTAGACATAGAGTGCATTCGTGCATAATACTAAGCAATGTCATGTGGCAATCATGCAACATGGTATTTCACCTTGTGTTCTGGGTTCATCCAACAGACTGTTAGGACAGTGTTTGTCCTGCAGCTGTGGTTGTGGGGGGCAGGCATGGGGGCAGGGTTTGTTGAGAGTCCTTACGAAAGTCATGGACAAGATTGGAGCAGAGGGGAGGCCAGAAGACATGGGCTTCCAAGGGTAATTGCCATGTGGTCCTCATGCACATGAGGAAACCTCTAGGACAAAGCAATGCTCCAGCAATGGGCAACAATCAGATTGGACTGTCAGGCATGGGCATTTCTGCCATTGCTGCTACTGGAGGTGGCGCAGCACAATACCTCACTGCCAATGAGATCCTGTTGCCACAGCTGGGCAACCACAGCCTCGTGCTGCTGGTAAGACAGAAAGGGAGTGCAGAGTAGCCCATCATCACACTGCTGCCTGCAACTCAGCAGTTGCTGGGCAGATTTGGAGAACAGCAAGTGTAGGCAGGGGCGTCTGCAGCAGCCATGGCCACTCCAGTCTTGAGATTCTATGACTAAAGCATGGAAACAATGCAAAAGTAGTTTCTAGGTTCAAATTGTAAAACAAGCAATCGTGGAACCTTAAAACAAGTCATTGTGGTACCATGGAGACCAAATGTGCCTTGCTTCAACAAGCTTTCTGGATTCAGACATAACATGAAGCCATGCTCTTGCAGTTTCCACCATTGCTTTCCGTTATATGTGAACCCACCCAAATAATGGTTAGTTTAAAAATGAAAGCAGAAGCTTCCAATCTCTTCTTTACGATCAAGGCATAGGAAGAGAGGGGAGGAGTCAGCTGATAAGATTCATTCATGTAATGCAAAACCATCTTTGTACGAATAAAGTGATTGTTCAGCAAAAGCAGATTAATACTTTACATTTAATACTGTATTTTAACTTTAGAATATTTAAAAGTTCAAATACAATACATAAAATACTTATCCTGGTAGTCCTTACAGAACAAATCAGTAAGATAAATCAACATTAATGTTATCACCATATTGCAGGTGAGAAGGGAAGATGTAGTCGAAGGACAGTGATATGTGTTAAAACATTTTTCTACAGTTTTATTTTTCTGTAGACATTTTTCTATTTTGTGAGTCTGTTAGTAATAATGCATGGATGCCAACTGCAAATCCAAATAAACAAGCCTGACAAATTGTAAGTTGTAATTACTGTTTTTTCAAGTGATTATGTTTACTGAATATGTGACCGAATACTTATATTATACTCATATATGTATCAGTGCAAAATTGAACTAATAAGTAGTGACAGCAAAACTGAAGATGGCCAAACCACCATAGCAAAAGGGAGCTGAAGTCTGTTGAAATAGATGAGTGGTCATCAGATCAGCTACATTTCTTTGGGTTGCTTAGTGCAGCTTTCCCCAACCTGGTGTCTTCCAGATGGGTTGGACTATGGCTCCCAGCATTCCCAGCCAGCTACTCTGACTGAACAATGCTAAGCCTTATTAATAAAAATGGTTGGAGGGAAGGCAGGTTGGGGATGTCTGAATCAGTATCTTTGTTTCTTTCCAATGTTTAAACATTGTAGGGCAGATACAAACTACTGTCTTTTTAACAAATATTTTAACAAGCATGCCTGCATAATACAAATATTATATTATAATATTTAAATCATTGTTAAGTGCAGTTTAATTTCAAGTCCCATACAAGTGGTGTTTTAAAAAAATAATAATATGGGACACTTAAGCTTTGTTGCTTCCTTTACGTGGAGTCAATAAACATGTGGAATTCTACTGAACTTTTTCCAGTTCAGCACTTTCTGGAAGGCCTGCATCACTAGTTGTAGGACTTTCCTGTCCAAACATTCCTAGGATTGTACCCTAATTGACCAAGAGCAAATTCTGGAATGATGTTCTTTTGACTTGGTATAGAACTTCTATTGTCCATGATTCCTGATTAACCATGACTTACAAACTTGGTTTCATTTCTGTGTGAATGATAATTGATGTAGCAGTAAAATGTAATCTTCAACTGTGGTTAAGTCAAGGGTATGGGGAAGAAGTTCGTTGCTGTTAACTCTGTGATCCACCAAAACTGAACATGGCTACATTTTGCAAAGCAGAACTGCAGGAAGCATTAACTTAACCATTCTGTTAAGCAAAGAAAAACTTTCTTCAGGATGCAGCCTTAAGCTGCCTATGCAAGTTTGGACAGGGGGACACTGAAGACTTCTTTTCTGGCTGAATGTGCATAGGACTGACTCTTAAAAATACTTTCCTGGAAATACGGAATGTTGTTAGTTGTGAAGTCGTGTCCAACCCATTGCGAACCCATGGGCAACATTCCTCCAGGCCTTCCTGTCCTCCACCATCCCCCGGAGTCCACTTAAGCTCACACTGACTGCTTCAGTGACTCCATCTAGCCACCTCATCCTCTGCTGTCCCCTTCTTCTTTTGCCATCAATTGTTCCCAGCATTACGCTCTTTTCCAGTGAGTCCTTCCTTTTCATTAGGTGGCCAAACTATTTGATTTTGATCTTCAGTATCTGGCCTTCTGGGACTGCAGGTGGCGCAGTGGTTTAATCCGCTGTGCTGCTGGGCTGGTTGATCAAAAGGTCGCCTGTTCGAATCTGCACAATGGAGTGAGTTCCCGTTGCTCCGTCCCAGCTCCTGCCAACCTTGCAGTTCGAAAGCATGCAAATGCAAGTAGATAAAAAGGTATCACTTCGGTGGGCAGGTAACAGTGTTCTGTGCACTTTGGTGTTTAGTCATGCTGGCCACATGACCACGGAGACTGTTTGTGGACAAATGCTGGCTCCCTTGGCTAGGAAACGGAGATGAGCACCGCCCCCTAGAGTCAGGCATGACTGGACGTAATGTCAAGGGGAAACCTTTACCTTTTATCTGGCCTTCTAAAGAGCAGTCAGGGTTGATCTCCTCTGAGACTGACCTAATAAATTATAATTATTCTAATACCTAATAAACTTTGGCATAGCCAGAAGTGTGGCTTCTAGATCGAGAGAGATACTACTACTACTCTATACGACTCTGGTGCACCCACAACTGGAGTATTGTGCCCAGTTTTGGGCCCCTCATTACAGAAAGGATATAGCCAGGTTAGAGTCAGTGCAGCGTAGGGCCACAAGGTTGGTGGCTGGTTTGCAGGGGATGGGGTATCAGGTGAGACTGAGGGAACTGGGTCTGTTCAGCCTGGAGAAGAGGAGACTCAGAGGGGATATGTTGGCGCCATACAGAGGGGATGTCACACAGAGATGGGTAGAGACTTATTCTCCCCTGCAGAGGAAGGCAGGATGCACTCCAATGGAGCAAAGCTCAGAACGCAGGTTCCATTTAGATGCCAGGAAGCACTTCCTGACAGTCAGGACCCCGAGGGTGTGGAATGGGCTTCCACAAGAGGTTGTTGAGGCCGCATCGGTGAGGGTGTTCAAAGGTAGGCTGGACATGCACATGGTGGGCATGTCGTGAGCGGAGCCGGCTGGAGCCGGGGTTCAGACTAGATGGCCTGAGAGGCCCCTTCTGACTCGCTCTGTTTCTATGTTTCTATATCATAGAGTTTGACAGAGTTGGTGGGTGGGAGTGACAGATGGGGAGCGGGGGGCAGTGCTTGTTCCTGCTGCTCCTCCTCCAAATTAATTAAGTAGGATATTGCCTCTATTTGATTGTTCAGTGCTCACAAGTATGGAAAATATGAGGGAGCAAAGGGGATTGTGAGTGCTAGGTAAAACTCCTGGATGATCATGAATGCATTAGCCACACATCCTTGACCATGGTATGGTTGGCTCATGGTCAGAAGACACATACTAGGAAGAATTTAGCCTGTCTTCCTTTAGCATGGCAGAGTGGTGCAGTGGTTAATAATGCTGAACTGGGACTCACTGGATCAGGGTTCTAGTCCCCATTCAGCCATGAAGCCCACTGGTCCAGTCAGTGACTCTCAGCATAGCTTAACTTATAGGATTATTGTAAGGATAAAACAGAGAGGTAGAGACTCTTGTGAACCTCATTGGGTTCCTTGAAAGAGGAAGAAAAGCGGGATATAAATATAACGTAGTAACAGCAATAATGCTATTGTTTTGCATGTAGGGTGTGGTTTTTGTGGGGAAGCATTTAAACATGTGGCCTCATACCTGGAGGCTGTAAATAGCTATTTTCCAGAGTCCCATTGATTCCAACGTGGTATATGTTGGCACAGCTTTCTGTGACTTGTACCCAGTGACATTCAGAGTCACTGCTACTGAATCAGCACAGATTGCTGAGACCAGTGGCTCAAGTCAAGTGTTGTGGCTTAACTAATTTGTGGGCTAGGATATCATTTTTAAAAGTTAGTAATACATATACCTAATATTTCTTTATCACTGGATCTTGAAGAGGAGGCAGGGAGGAAGAGGTAGGGCTCACAAGCTCCATGACTTTTTAAATTTACATTGAGCAAACATTAAACACTGCCATACAAGGGAAGGATTCAGGAAAGATCCATTATGTATACTTGAATCAAAATCTGTTAGAACGGGCTTCATCTTTTAGTAAATGATAGTTCATTCCTGTAATTCTTAATAAATGTAACTTCCATCATTTCCCAAAATTTCATGAGTAGGACAAAAGGCATGACCCAGCCAATGTTAAACACTTTTAATCCCATTGATTTGATGGTAAGAGAGTTAGGCATTGCTTAACTTTTCCATTTTGGTTAACTCATTTGATTCAAGTTATTTCAAACAAAATTTGGGGTTTTTTTCTTGGCCACTTCCTTACTTCTGTGATTTTGTTCTTGTTTTAAAAACAGGGCCACTCTTGGTTTTGACTGCAGTTGTTTTTGTTTGTTTTAACAGGTTGGATTCAAAGTTAGTTATACTTAAAAATACACACATTAAAATAAATGGGATTTAAGTTAATCACACTGTCTCAAGTTCCATTGATTTCAGTGGGTCTTCTTGCATGAGTGACTGGATTTGCAAGGCAGAGGCATTAAATGATGATGCACCTTTCAGTATTGTACAATAACTGCATAACTTGCACTATTTTGTGGCACCTTTTCTTTCATCACCAAATGCTTATGATGCACAGACGTCAGAGGAAACATGGCAGCACAACTGGGTGTTTTATTTCTTAGAGGTGTGCTCATCATAAGAAAACTCCCAAATAACAGTTTAGGGTCTTGAGCTCTCTTCACATTAAATTATTGTTGAATTCCCAAAGCACATGCAAGGAAACCAAAATCAAAGAATCCTGAGGTGGTCTGCTTTAGAACAGCTGCTTTCAAACTGTGATTTGAGGAACCTTTGAATCCTTGAAAGCACAAGAGCAGCTCCTAATAAGAACCTAAACAATAGCCAAGCTTTCCTTGAAGGAAGCCATGGGTGAAATCCAGCATAACGCCTTAGGGTAGATCATTTGAAATTAATCAGACTCATGTTAGTCATAACTAATTTAAGTCCAATTCATTCAGTGAGTCTGCTTTAAGTAGAACTTTGGATTTTTCTCCATAATTATCATTTATCTTCTTCTGCAGTGCACAACCATTTGGGAAGGTTCAGTGCATTCAAGGGCACACAGTTCATATGAGGCTTTAGTTGAAGCCCTGAAACAGTTTAGGCACCCTTTGTTACACAAATAGAATGCAAGGTCTGAAGCATGTGCCACAGTCTTCTGTTCAGGGTGCTCTGGAAAGCCTTTTCTGAAGGTGGAAGGTTTGAAAATCACTGGTCTGGAACATGGATCTTTTCTCTGTGTGCATGCGCACTGACACTATCTTTTGTCTATAGAGAGATGCTTGGAAGATCACGAACTTGTTGTTCAAGTTGAATCTACAATGGGGAGTGAAAGTAAATTTTTATTCAGGAAGAATTATGCAAAATACGAATTTTTTAAGAATCCTGTGGTGAGTATCCTACTTTTTCATGTTATGGTCCTAAAAAATCTATCTTCTGTATGTCGCTTATATACTATGGAAATTGGAGCTGATTTCTAAAACTCATGCTAGTATCAGCATACTAATAGGAATGCATGGTCTAGTTCACAAGTAAAGGCTATCCGTGGTTTATTATTAACCCATAGTTTGTTGGCTATACCTCAGAAAAAGCCCACAAACAATCCACGGTTCAGGGTTCACATGTAATGGCAACCCAAAGTTGACAAACCAATGACAAACCATGAGTTCTTTTCTTTTTTGGGTTTGTTAACACATCATGATAACCCATGGTTCAGCAGTTCATGCCATAGGTTAGTATTATGTGCAACCCTAGCTATTCTTGCAATGTACAAGTGAAATACCACTCCCCTGAAAACCTTGCAATAATGAGAAATACTGTCTTCCTGTTTTCAAGAGATGCATGTCAGCAGCCATTGCTTTGCTGTCAGCTTGTGTGGAGGCTGATGTGGGAAACAGTTTTAGGAAAAGGTACCCACTATCACTTTGAGGATGGGATGGAGCTTAATTATAGAGCATATGCCTTCCATTAAGGAGGCCTCAGGTTTGACTATTGGCTTCTCCAGTTAAAAGTTTTTCTGAAAAGGGCTAGGAAGAGTCTGCTGAGCTGTTGCCTATCAAAATAACACTGAACTAGACCAAATGGAAAGATGGGACAGCCCTGCATAGGGTTGCCGCCATATGTTCACCATGTGCATAAATGCAAGTTGATAGTGGATGGTGATTGCTCCATCTCACATAAAGCCCACCATGATAACCTGCTTCTCCTGAATCAATATATGTTGGAAAGAAAAATTCACCTTTCTCCATATGCGCTAAATGTAACCTTGTGGTTTATTATTTGAGAAGTGAATAATGCCTTGCAAAGTGAAAGTCCACAGTTGGTGGTCCTCTCAACATTTCGGCCAGCCACTCCTGTCAGCTCTAACCAACATAACCAATGGCGATGGATCATGGTGGGACTCCACAGTCACCAACCACGATTTTAAGGGAGATGGAGCCCATCTGTGTGTCTGTCAGCCCATTCACACAGCTTCCCTCTCCCTACTGCTGTTCATGCTTTAGTGACTAAATAAGTATTCTGTGCTTGGCAGTGTGCATGCATGTGGGGGTGGGGGGATATTCTGCTGTACAGCATTTAAAACCCAGTAACACAGGGTGAGCTTAAAAACACAGATGTAGGCCTTTGCAGATAAAGGGTTTGAATTGCTTCAGAAGCCCCTTAGGGTATCTGTTAGAGTCATCAAGTGCCCGTTTATGCCCTTTTATGCCACTCTAATTAGGTCAAATCCCTTTTATGGCACTTTTTATGGTACACAGGTCTAATATGACTCTGCTCATGTTCTTAACAACCCAATGGACATAATTCCAAGAAGGCACACACTGGTGTACTCAGAGTTTGAGGATTAAAATAAGGGCATAAATGCCCTTTTATGGCGCTGCAAGTCAGTTGCATCTTAGGGCAAGAGGCAAACATTCATGACCATATGCTGATGCTAGAACTCTTGACCCAGGTATATGAACCACTGTGCCTGCATGGGCAGTGCCAAATCGTGGTACAGTGCTTAATTTCTTAAAATAAGGGCTACCAAGATTAACAATGTTCCCTGACCCAAAAGTACCTAATTTCAGATATGTGGGGGCTAATTAAGATTGATAAGGAGGGAAGCATATAGCACATTCTCAAAGGCACTACTGATTGATAGATGCTCGAGTTACATAGAAACAGAGCGAGTCAGAAGGGGTCTCCCAGGCCATCTAGTCTCACCCCTGGCTCCAGCTGGCTCCACTCATGACATGCCCACCATGTGCATATCTAGCCTATCCTTGAACACCCTCACCAATGGGGCCTCAACCACCTTCCATGGAAGCCCATTCCGTACCCTCAGGGTCCTAACTGTCAGGAAGTGCTTCCTGACATCTAAATGGAACCTTGGTTCCCTAAGCTTCGCTCCATTGGAGCACATCCTGCCCTCCTCTGCAGGGGAGAACAGGTCTCTACCCACCTCCATGTGACACCCCCTCACATACCTCTCTGTTGCCAACAGATTCCCTCTGAGTCTCCTTTTCTCCAGGCTGAAGATTCTCAGTTCCCTCAGTTTCGCCTCATACAGCTTCCCCTGCAAACTGGACACCAACCTTGTGGCCCTACGTTGCACTGACTCTAACCTGGCTATATTCCTTCCTGTAATGTGGAGCCCAAAACTGAGCACATTACTCCAGTTGCAGGCGCACAAGAGTTGTGTAGAGTGGTAGTAATGCCTCTCGCAATCTAGAAGCCACACTTCTGGCTATGCAACCAAGGGTGGCGTTTGCCCTCTTGACCACCACATCACACTGCTGACTCATGTTTAGCCTGCAGTCAACGAGGACCCGGAGGTCCCTTTCACAAGTGCTGCTCTCCAGCCACTTATCACCTAACCTGTACTTATGACACCCATTCTTATGCCCCAAGTGCAAGACCTTGCACTTACCCACATTGAATGCCATCCTGTTGTCTCCTGCCCACTTCCATAGTCTGTCCAGATCCTTTTGGATCTGGAGTACCTGCTCCTCAGTTGTGCCCCGAAGTCCCCGGCCTATTCTAATCTCCTATGCGGATATCCCCCGTCCTGCTTTGGGGAGAACATAAAGGCAAAATAGTCATTTAGCATCTGTGCCTGCTCCCTCATATCAGTCACTGGATCTCCTTCCTCCTTATTTAGCGGGCCCACTACTTGTCCCCTTCCTCTTCCTATTTACATGCTGATAAAACCCATTTTTGTTGCTCTTGATATTCTTGGCAAGTCTCAGCTCGTAATCAGCCTTAGCCTTGTGAAGAATCCTTCTGCAACAGGCCTCCTCCTCCTGGTATACGCTTTTGTCTATTTTCCCCAGTACCCATTTCCTACGGAGGTTCCTCTTGCATCTAATCCCTCTAACCACCTCATTTCACATCCATGGCGGCACTCTCATTCTCCTCCCCGCCTTACTAACTAGAGGTATCATCAAGGTTTGTGCCTCTATAACCTCCCTTTTGATGCCATCCACCCCCCTCAACTCCCTTGCCTTCCAGTAACCTATCCCAGGAGAGTTTCCCCAGTCTGGCCTTCAGTTGGCCAGAGGTGGCTCTCTTGAAGCCCTAGGTTCTAGTGCTTAACCTGCTGCATGTCCCCATTCCCCTGATCTCAAAGCCAAGGATGGAGTGATCACTCGCATCGAGAGCTCCCTTAATCTGTACTCCATCTATCAGCTCCTCCATGCTGGTCAAGCCCAAGTCAAGGATGATTCCCCCCTTCGTCGTCCCTCATTGCCTCTCAGACCCTCTATGTAAAAAACCCTTCCTCTATAGCTTCTAGGAAGCGACGTGACCTGGCTGTCACCGCTGAGTGAGTCTCCCAAGTAATATCCGGGAAATTGAAATCTCCCATAATTACTGTGTCTCTCCCCTGAGACATCCTTAGAATCTGGTCTGTCTCAGGACATCATCCAGGGTCTCAAGTTGACCTGGTAGGCGATAACATACCCCCACTGTCAGTTCTCTTTCCCTGTCAAAACCCCTAAGTTTCACCCAGACTGCCTCTACCGAATCCCCATCTGTGCTGCATTCTGCCTCACTGCATCCTATCCCTTCCCTGACATATAAAGCTACGCCCCCACCTCTCTTTCCCTTCCTGTCCTTTCTGAAAAGGTGATACCCTTCTATGTTCACATTCCAGTCTTGCCTTTCATCCACCAATTTTCTGTGATCCCCACCAGGTCATGGCCTCCTATTCCCAGGAGAGCTTCAAGCTCTTCTTGCTTATTACCCATGCTCCTAGCATTGGTGTACATGCACCTCAACCCCTTCCCACAGCTTGCTTTCTTTGGATTCCCCAGCCTCCTCCTTCCTCCCATATTCCCTAATACCGCCCCTCTCTTTGTAGGAGACCTGTCAGTCCCTGCAGTCCCTCTAAAACCCTGCTTCCAGAGCCCTGATCCTCTCCCCACACTTTTCCAGTGCGGACAAGTTTCTGGGGGGGCCTGAACCCCCTCCCCGGCTCTGTTTAAGTCTTCCAGACACAGTTCGCTAGAGCATTTCCAAAGCACCTTTTTCCCATCCTCGTGATGTTCAACCCTTCCCTTGCCAGAAGTTGATTGGCAAGAAACCGAATGCCGTGGTTGAGGAACCTGAAGCGTTCCTTCTGGCACCACACCCTAAGCTAGTAATTCACCTCGGCGACACTCCTATCCCTGCCTGGCCCACATCCTCGGACCAGTAAGGTAGAGGGAAAAGCCACTTGGTCCTTTAGGTCCCTGAGTTTCTTCCCCAAGGCCTCGAAGTCCCTGGTGATCCTGCCCACACCTTGCCTAGCCATGTCATTTGTACCCACATGGATCACCAGAAGCGACCCTCGGAGCGAACAAGATGATCCACTCCACTCTATCCTTCCCATGCTGGATGCGTGCACCCGGCATGCAACATACCTCACTCACTTCAAGGTCAGGGTGGCACACCACCACTTCAGTGCTCCTCAGCAGGGAATCCCCGATGACGATCACCCCCTGCCGTCTCTTCCCGGTGGTGGTAGGCGGCCGTGCCCTGGCCCTCACGTCTCCTGCAGTGGCCCCCTTGCTGCATGTGGTTCCAGGCAGGACCAGGCTAGGGGTCCTGCTGGTCCCTCAAGGCATCATCAGCCCCAGCCTCTCCAAGCAGAGAGAACCTCTTTCCCAGCCCCAGATTGGCGCCAGGAGAAGGAGAAGGCTGTGCTGGTCTCCTCCTCCTGTAGGTAACATGCCTCCATGTCTCCCCAAGTTCTTTTTTCTTGTTCTCTGTTTTCCTACCCTCCCTCCTTCTCTCCTTTCTTGCAGATGTGTGGGCTATAAATGAAATAATAAATAAAGCATGGCTTGGTGTGTTCCAGGGCTGAGCACCTCAGGAGCCTCAATTCACATTTATCCCTGCCTTATGATATTTCTTAATTCCATCAATATAGTGATACACCTAGTTCAACCTGAATGTTGACTGTACAATTCCCTTTAAGCAAGCCAGGTCTCTTAACACTGTGTTTACTTTTTGGCTCTGGCCTCTTGGCAGAGCAGCAGAGCACCAGAGGCACAGGCTGGGAGAGAGTGCTGAGTGCCCAGGGGACTGGCGAAGGCAAGGTAGGAGCTGGGCAGGGGAGCAGAGGGCCAGGAGCAGCAGAGAGGAAAGGGGCGGGGCCAGAGAGGCTAGAGGGGCCAGGTGGAAGCAGACAGGCGGGGCCACCGGTCTGAGGGACTGATAAGGCTGAGAACAGCCGTTGGCATCGTCCCTTGTCTGCATCCCTTAGCTGTGGCCCGGGCTGTCCAGGGACTCCCTTCACTGGGACACAAAGGTGGTTTTTTGTTGTTGTTGCTGTGCTGTGCTTTGCTTTGTTTTTCCTCCAATTTAAATTTAAGTTTATTTTATAAATTTAAGTTTATTTTATCCGTGTGTGTGTGTGTGTGCGTGCGAGTGGGTTTTTGTCTGGGAGAACTGGGTGAGTGAGAGGAACTGCAGGACAGACAAGGCAGGGGACCAAGATAAGGTCTCAGAAGGGATCCCAATGTCAGACCAGGAGATGGCCTTGGCGGGTATCAAGGGTATTGCTGTCCGCTGCGATCCAAAAGGATCTGGACAGACTATGGAAGTGGGCAGGAGACAACAGGATGGCGTTCAATGTGGATAGGTGCAAGGTCTTGCACTTGGGGCATAGGAATAGGTGTCATAAGTACAGGTTAGGGGACAAGTGGCTGGAGAGCAGCATTTGTGAAAGGGACCTCGGGGTACTGGTTGACTGCAGGCTAAACATGAGTCAGCAGTGTGATGCGGTGGTCAAGAGGGCGAACGCCACCCTTGGTTGCATAGCCGGAAGTGTGGCTTCTAGATCAAGATAGGTATTACTGCCACTCTATACGACTCTGGTGCGCCCGCAACTGGAGTATTGTGCTTGGTTTTGGGCCCCTCATCACAGAAAGGATATAGCCAGGTTGGAGTCAGTGCAGCGCAGGGCCACAAGATTGATGGCCGGTTTGCAGGGGATGGGGTATGAGGCGAGACTGAGGGAACTGGGTCTCTTCAGCCTGGAGAAGAGGAGACTCAGAGGGGATATGTTGGTGACATACAGGTATGTGTGGGGATGTCACATGGAGATGGGTAGAGACCTGTTCTCCCCTGTAGAGGAAGGCAGGACGTGCTCCAATGGAGCAAACCTCAAGGAGCTAAGGTTCCATTTGGATGCCAGGAAGCATTTCCTGACAGGACCCCGAGGGTGTGGAATGGGCTTCCACGGGAGGTTGTTGAGGCCCCATCGGTGCGGGTGTTCAAGGATAGGCTGGACATGCACATGGTGGGCATGTCGTGAGCAGAGCCAGCTGGTGCCGGATGTCAGAGTAGATGGCCTGGGAGGCCCCTTCTGACTCGCTCTGTTTCTATGTTAAACATTAAATTAAAATTAATGTTTGTCTTAATGACTTTTTTGCAGATGATTGGGATCATGCTTTTCATTCTGGCTGTTTTTTATATATCTGGGTGTGAAAGGAAGAGAACCAGCTGCCAAATCTATGCATTTTCCGCACAATTCAGTATTTAGTTGGGGCCCACACAAACTAGAGTCATGCAGAAAGAAGCTATGTTGAAACCATCAAAGTTTCAGCCTGTAGCCGAGAATAAAGCTAGTATGTTAAAAATTCTTCTGGAAACTGAAGCTGCTCTGAATCGAGTACCCTGCAAAGGTTTCAGTAGTGCTGAGGGGAGCACTTTTTCTATGGGATCATCCCATTGTTTGGCTGGAATGTTTAAAGGCTCACAAGCACCTGTTCGTCAGCCAGAATTGTACTCTCTACAGTTCCAGCTTGGAGACACTTGTGCACTAAAGTCTGGTGCAAATATCCTTGCTCATTTTGTTGCAGACATTGTAAATATTGCATCAGTGTTGTGGCATAAATCCATGGAAATTTGATTCGCACAGCACAGTTGGGACACTTAAGGCTTGGGTGCAGAACCAATCATTCCTCCTGGAATAGCAGTCTGGGCCTCTCAGGTTCCCCAGATAGCCGTACCCTTTCCTGCAGGCTCCACCCCAAACCACCAATCCCTTTTTGTTTTTTATTTGTACATTTTTTCGTATTCTTAGTTAAGTGGCAGTAAGAGCTTTACACTAAAATATGCTGGTGTTTTTCTTTTTGTATTTTCATCTCACCTATGATACTGTGACCCTTAAAAGCTTTACCAAAATGGAATTTGGCCCCTGGACTGAAAGAGGTTCAACAACCCTGATTTAAAGGTTACTCAGGCTATACAAAAAATGTCAGATGAATCCTAATACTAAACTGCCTTCTCATTTTTTTCTCTCTTTTCCACCCACCCTAGAACTTCTTTCCGGAACAAATGGTAGCTTGGTGTCAGCAGTCAAATGGCTGCATTCCACAGTCACAGCTCTTACAGGTATGCTAGATATTGTAGTTGTCTCCTGAGCTGAGCAAAGAAACTAATCTGTGTTAGAACAGTTTGGGTAGAGAGGTGTGTATTGTTAAGACTAGCTTGGTAATGAAAGGAACGCTGTTAAATATAAACTAGAACTGTTTGAATAAAGTTCAGCATATCAGTTCAAAATATTCTGGGCCCATTCAGATGTTACCATTTCTGCTGCATGTAAGTTCCCTTTTAAAGAAGGGGCAGCAGGAGCAGGCTAGGATAATGTCATTGGAGTCACACAATCACTGCCTCTAGATGTGACTCGGGAGTTGCAGCTCCCAAAGGCTCTGTCCTGCAAAATCAAGCTGCAAGTATAGCTTGTCATGGCATCCAAACCTGAAAGGGGTGGGTTGTGCAAAGATTAAACAACCCCAGCAGAGGTGGTTCAAGGATTCTGGTGACACAGCAAGCCACAGTAACGGCCACATGGCCTAAGTCACCATGGACCAAGCAGCTCTATTAGTTCTCCAAGAGACTGACAAAAGCCAGTACGAGCCCTTATTGCTCAAGTAGAACTAAGCAGTCTCAGGCTGGGAACTCAAGAGCGGAATTGGACTTGGCAAAACAGGGTGGCATTTAGTGTTGCACCTTTTTTTTTAAGGAATCACAAGCTTCTGCTATGAAGTGTGGGAATATTGCTCTTATTTTCCCTGTGTTTCCAAACTATATTAATTATATCTGGATTGTTGTTTGCCTCTCACCTCTCCTGTAGAAAGCGGGAACCAAGACTGGAAATAAATGCTTTAAAAATGGACAGCAAAGAGGCTTTGTTGAAAATAGCTTGCCCCCTTTACAATTGTGCATAACACTGAGATTGTTCCCCTGGAAATCTTGCAAAGGTGTCTAAAATCCTCAAACTTAGGGTCAAATTCTGAAACTTGGGCATATTGTATTGTTAAGTAGCATTCTCATTATTCGACAGCTTTTCACCTAAAAGTAGTAGCTGAATTTGTGCTCTGAAAATTAATCTGATAATATGATTTGAGTTTGGTAATCTGTTTACTTGGACAGAAAGACTTACAGAAGAGTTCCACAAAAATCCAAGCAAAACAGTGAAAGCATACTTTGGACAAGCACAATCTAAGTGGCAAGCGGAATTTGTATTAGAATAAATAGGTTTTGCTGGGGGAATGAGCCCACCTTGTCTGTCCTTGATAGTGGCCAAGCTGCTGTCCTCTGGGAGCAGCATGTTCCCCAGCTGCTGGTGCACATATACCTGCTACCTATGGTACTGGCAGTAGCAGAACCAGTAGACGTTGATACTTTATCCTGCCCGAATTTGTCCATTTGGTGTTTTTTTTTTTTGCACATTTTTTATTAAGATTTTAAACTAAAAACTGAAAAAATAATCATCAAATACATCGGACGTACTGGGTCAGCCCCCTATAACATATCTTTTAAACATTCTATAATCATATTCAAATCGATTTATAAAAATTTAAAGACATCTTTAAATCTAAGCCAAGTCCCATTTCTCCAGCCACTCATAAAAAAGGTCCCAAGTTTGATAGAAGTCAGTATCTTCTTTCTCCTTCAATAATAGAGTCAATCTGTCCATTTCTGCACAGTCCAGAATCTTTTTTAAAATCAGTTCCTCAGTGGGTAGTTCCTCACTCTTCCAATATTGAGCAAGCGCAATCCTCGCTGCTGTGATTAAATGTAGTATCAAATACATTTCTTGTTTGCTAATATTTTCCGGTACAATACCTAACAAGAAAATTTCAGGTTTAAAAGCTAAGGGTATTTGTAGCATTTCCTCAAGCCATTTATCTATTTTAATCCAATACTTTTTCACATATTCACAAGTCCACCACATATGGTAAAAAGTACCCACATCATGTTTACATTTCCAACATCTGTTTAACATATTTGGCAACCTTTTAGCTAACTGATTTGGCGACAAATACCATTTATAAAACATTTTATATAAATTTTCTTTATACGAAGTTGCTAAAGTTACCTTAATATTTCTCTCCTGTAACTTTTGCCACTTTTCTAATTCAATATTTTATCCAAAATTTTGTGCCCATGTTATCATAGTTTCCTTAACCTGTTCCCCTTCCATTTTCCTGTCAAGTGGGAACTCATAAATTCTTTTAATCATTTTCTCATCTGTGTTTAACATCACTTGATCAAAGGCTGTTAGGTCTTTATAAAACCCCCATATTTTACAATCTTTAGCATATCTTGATTGCATCTGCACCTTATACCACCACGAGATATTGAGTCCCTTTTCTTGTATTTCTTGATCTAGGTTCAGGTCTCCATCCTTATCCAAAATATCATCATATCTTATGATCCCTTCAAAATTCAATACATTTGGATGCGCAAGAGCTTCCATAGATGAAAGTCATCTTGGTAACTTATTACACAATTTTGACTTTAACTTTTCCCACACTGACATTAATGATCTTCTAATAGAGTGACTCAGAAAACTCCCATGAGACTTGACCTTCTCATGCCACATATAAGCATGCCAACCCAATTGCAAATCATGTCCTTCAAGATACAAAATTCTCTTATTTCGCAAGGTTATCCATTCTTTTAGCCAAGTTAAAATAGACGCTTGATAGCACATCATCCAATCTGGTAAACCAAAACCCCCATTCTTTTTGGTTTCCTGAAGCATTTTCAGTTTAATCCTTGCTTTCTTTTTCTCCAAATAAATCTCGAAATTTGAAAATTTAAATCCTCAAAAAATTTTTATCAATTTTTACGGGAATCATTTGGAACAAAAACAAAAGTTTTGGTAGCATATTCATTTTAACCAGTGCAATTCTTCCCATCAAAGACAGTTGTAAATTTGCCCATCTTTCCAGATCACCTTTAATATCTTTCAATAATTTATCGTAATTCTTTCAAAGTTGTGCATTTAGCTGTAAGATAGATTCCCAAGTATTTAACCTTTTTGACAATCTGCAAGTCCATTTGTTCTTGGAGTCTTTTTTTCTGATCTTGCATAAGATTTTTAACAAAAGTTTCATTTTTTCCTTATTTATTTTCATCCCCGTAACCTCACCATATTCTTCAATCCGTTGTAAAAATTTAGGGATTGTTACAAAAGGTTCCTCTATTATAAAGACCAAACCATCTGTGAATGCTTGCAATTTATACTTTTCATCCCTAATTTTAGTATCTTTAATGTCCTCATCATCCCTAATATTTCTATTCAAGACCGCTAAAGTCAGGATGAACAGCAGGGGTGACAGCGGGCGTCCCTGCCTTGTACCCTTTTGTATTTCTATAGCCCTTGTACGTTCTCCATTAATTAAAATCCTGGCCGATTGTCTTTGATAGATGCTTGATATCGCATTCATAAATTTCCCCCCAAACTCCATTTGGTCCATCTGTTGCATCATGAATTGCCAATTAACATTATCAAAGGCTTTCTGGGCATCTAAAAACAGTAGAGCCATTGATTTTTCCGTGTGTGTCTCGTAGTATTCTAGGATATCCAAAATAGTCCTCAGATTGTTCTTCATTTGTCTTTTAGGCAGAAAACCATTTTGGTCTGGATGAATAAAGTCTATTAAAAACTTCTTCAACCTTTCTGCCAATATAGAGGCAAAATTTTTATAGTCCACATTTAATAATGATATGGGTCTGTAATTTTGAATCTATGTTAAGTTCGTATCTTCTTTCGGTATTAATGTGATATTTGCCTCTGTCCAGGTATCTGGTATTTTAGCAGTTAACAATGCTTCATTACATATGTCTTTGAGAAAGGTAGCAAAAAATCCCTCAAAAGATTTGTAAAATTCAACTGGTAGCCCATCCGGACCAGGGGTTTTATCATTCTTTTGTCGCATGATTGTCTCTGTTATTTCCGTAGTTGTTACTTCTTGATTCAATATTTTTTGATACTTTTCTGGTAATTTTGGTAAATCTCCCTTTCGAATGTATTCTTTTACCTTCTCGATTGAAAATTCCTCCTTCCAGTATAACCTTGCAAAAAAATCTTCAGCTATTTTCTTAATTTGTGTATTTTGTACCTGTAGTTGTCCTTCTCCATCTTTCAGTTTCGAAATCAATCTCTTCTCTCTTTCTTTTTTTACTTTATATGCTAGCCAGCTCCCTGGTTTATTAGCATTTTCAAAAAAAAATCTGTTTAGCCAATTTCATTTGCTTAGTAAGTTCATTTGTATCCAAGAGATTCACTTTGTGCTTTAAAATATTCATTTGGACCTTAAGATTTCTTTTTGTTGGATCCGCCTGCAGTTCTTGTTCCCATTTCCTCAATTCTTTTACTAATGTTGCTCGCTCTTGCTTTTTCTTTTTATTTATTTTTGTTGAGTAGGTTATTATCAGTCCCCTGACATAGGCTTTAGCTGCATTTGGTTTTTAAAGCTGCAAAATTGGTGACCACCATGGCATCCCTTGCAAATGAATTCCACAGTTTAACTATGTACTGTGTTAAGAAGTACTTTCTTTGTCCTAAACTTGCTACCATTTCACTTTGTGGGATTTACAACAAACAAACCCCTGATGTTGTAACCTTTGCCCCTTAGTTGCCTCTTTGTTCTTCTTTTTCCAAATCCAATAAATTTTTTTAGGTGCAATGACAAGTCATGTACATAGTATTCCAAGTGCAATTGCATGTGAATTTGTGTAAGCAGTGTGGTCTTGGCAATTTTATTTTCAGTTTCTGTTCTGTGCTTAGAGCACCCCATGGAAGTGTTAAATGTGAACTGGGAAAGCACGGGTACCATACAAGCACAGTGGGAAACCATAACTTACCATTGCAAGCTACTGAGTATATTGTGAAGAAATACCCTTGCGTGCCTTTGGCTACTGGTGACACAGCCTCTGCCTTGCCTATTGTTGTGTACATTCCGTCCATATTGTGACAGCCTTCCCTTGCAGTGGACTTCTACAGCATTTCTTTTTCATTACTACGATACCTTGAAAGGAGCTAGATAAGAAAATACAACTCCTCTGTTGGCTATCCATTTTTCTAATACTGCATGATTTCTAACCTCGGCAGAATCCTATGGGATGCAGTATGCCAGCCTTACAACCTGGCACCTTCCAGATGCCTTGGACAGCAATTCTTATCATTCTCAACCATTATAGGAATGATGAGAGTTGTAGTCCAATACATCTGGAGTGTACGAGGTTGGAGAAGGCTGTAATAAATCATTTGAGGCTTATACTTAACTGCTGTTGCTCTTTTTTGCTCTGTGTATTGATATAATGTTACACTTTCATTTAATCTCCAACAGAACTTTTTAAACTCAAGTAGCTGTCCAGAAATTCAAGGGTTCTTGCATGTGAAAGAACTGGGGAGGAAGTCATGGAAGAAGTTATATGCTTGTCTGAGGAGATCCGGACTTTATTGCTCTACAAAGGGGTCTTCAAAGGTTGGTTGGTTGGTTGGTTGGTTATTTAAGATATTTGTATGCCATCCTTTGCGAGAGCCTCAGGATGGCTTACACAAATAAAATTCAATACATAACAGTGTAACATAAATTAACGACCCACTCTAACTGCAATTAAAATATGATAATAAAATTCAATATTAAAACTTGTTAAAATATTGATTAAATAAAAAGATCTTAACCTGGCGCCGAAAAACCACATTTAATGACGACGCCAGGCGGACCTCTCTGGGGAGCGCATTCCATAGATGGGGTGCCACCGCAAAGAAGGCCCTCCTCCAGGTACTCTGTCTCCTAATATCTTTCACAGAGGGTTCCCGGAGGAGGACTTCTGTTGCTGATCTCAGGGGGTGGGAGGGCAAATAGGGAAGATTTAACCAAATAACCTAATTTACTTAGGTTAGTTTAACAAAGATGAGCTTTAGACTTTAAAACCATTGCTTCTATTTTCTGCATGGTGTTTGGACACAATCCACCAGGAATACTTCTGCACAAGACCTGTTAGAATGGATGTATCAAATGGATACACTGCTTGATAATTTCAGTGCAGGATAAAAACAGAAGCAAAAATGTAAATACAAACACCATTATCCATGGCTCCTATTACAGTGTCATTGATTGCCTTTCTGTTGCTTAGTGGTCACCTAAAGCGGCTCAGAACAGTTTTAAGGTATAACTTCAATACAAACAAAATCAACTTTATTGGAACAAAAAACATATATTTAAACTATATATATATTTATAGGCCATTTACTTAAACTATTTAAAGGCCAAATAAAATACTAAGGTGTAGCAGCTGATCTACCCAATTTGTCAGATTAGTATGAAAGAACACACAATAAAGCAAATCCCTGAGAAGGCTCTCTGAGATAGAAGGATCTTCCCCCCTTTTCTGAATGTTCAAGAAGAGGAGGAGGAGAGACTCATTAGAAGTTCTAATATAGCCTTCCCTGACCTGGTCCCTTCCGGGTGTTTTACATTATGTTTTCTGTCAACCTTAGTCAGCATAATCCAAGAATGTTGGAAACTGTGGTCCAAACACATGGAGGGGACCAGCTCTAAGTTGCATGTAGTTCACATGAGGAAAGGTGTTCCTTAAATTGTGTCCTAAAGTAAATTTGGCTTGGGAGTGGAAAGTCAGAATATCTTGAGGTTTTTATTATTATAGCCCATGATAGTCTGCATAGGGGTGGGCAATGTGTGGCTCCTCCAGGTGCTGTTGGACTGCAAGTTCCATCATCCTTCACAGTTGGGGCTTATGGGAGTTGTAGGTCAAAACATCTGGAGGGCCAGAAGGTGTTCACCCCTATTTTAAATAGTTTATAGCATGGGTCCTCCAACTATGGCCCACCATGCCCATTTATCCAGCCTGCCATATAGGTTTTGGACTCGCCACGTGTGCAGGCATGCGCATGGCAAGCCACTGGCTTGCTCGCCAAGAGATCATTTTGGACTCGCTTGGAGAAAACAGTATCTGTACATGCATGCCCCTGCCTCGCCTCATGCACCCCCCCCCCACACACACACCCCGCCTTGGTAGTTTGGGCCCATCACCTGCACCTTTCAACTGGCCCCCTGCTGAGAAAGTTTGAGGACCCCTGATTTATAGTCTAGAATTAAGAAGTCATTCCATGTGTTTTTAGTGCCCTCTTGTGGCTGCATTTTTACTTTTGGAGAATGGAGGAGCTGAAGTGGTTTAACACTGTTGCTTTAATCATTGTACACATTTCCACAGGAACCAAGGCACCTGCAGTTGTTAGCTGACCTTGAAGATAGCAATATCTTCTCATTGATAGCAGGCAAAAAAATGTACAATGCTCCAACAGATTACGGATTTTGTATAAAGGTAATTCTTTACATTTTCACCTTCAGAGGCAGATAGTTCTGTTTACTTCAGTTCTCAGAAGACTCGTAATTAGTAATTTTAAGACTCCTGATGCATTCTCATGTAACTTTGTCAATGAAAACATGGTTTCAGATACATTCTGGAATTTCTGGAATGAGACCAGGCAAGGTGACCTAAAGTGAAGCATCGCAATTAAATGCATTCAGACACAAATCCTGGATGCCTTATCAGAGCTGAGTGGCTGGTGTTAATCCCATCAACTGTATATTTTTATTGTAGCTACTTCTATTACAATAGAATATGATGAATTGGAGAAATTTGCCCATTCTATAAAGGGGTTATGAAATAGTAAATTCTTCTTATATTGTGAGATGATGTTCTCTGTTTATCAGGGTTGCATTCTGGTTGGAAATCTTTAAGGTTTTCATAAGATTAGGAGTCCTTAGATTTGGTATTCTGTTATGCAATACCCACAAAGTTGTAGCTTCATAGTGTGAGCAGGAAAGTCCCAATTCCAAAGCTTACCCAAGCCATCAACTCACTACGTGATCTTAGCTTGGCTCCCTGCCTACTTCTAAAATTAGAGGGTGATAATAACACTTGCCTACCTTGCTAAGTGTCTATAAGTGTTGCCGAAATCAAGTGAACCCTTTAAAGAAGCTTTCCCACCTTGGTACCTTACAGATATGTTATAAGAATCTATATTGTAAATCTTGTATTTGCTATGAGAAGGTAACTACTTGTTGTCCTTTTTTTGTAGCCCAACAGAGTGAGAAATGAAACAAAAGAATTGCGGTTGCTGTGTGCTGAGGATGAGCAGAGTAGGACATGCTGGATGACTGCCTTCAGACTCCTCAAGGTGCTGGTTTCTCTCCACTCTTGGGCAAAATTCACTGTTGTGGTGGTCTCTGGGCCAGGACCACTGCTGACAGTTCCTGTTTGTGCAAAATCCCCCCTGCCCTCTGGATACATGCATATGTGTGTTTGGAGGGGCTGCTGATGAAAGTGTGAATCTGGTCTTGTTCAGGTGGGAAGGAGGAATCTTGGTTTTGCTTCTTCCCCAGATAACCCCCATCCCAGAACTTTTCATGGCAGTTGCTCACATGGAAAAATGTCTTTTCAGGAACTGCTGCTGCTGAAACTTAGTGGCTCTCAAAGTAATATCAAGACATTACACCAATGCAAGTGATAATCTGACAGCCTAATAAACAACCACCACAGTGACCAGCCTGTGAACCTTAGGATATTATTTATCAACCATTGCCTATCATCTTAGACATGTAGACTTGTACTTTGTGGAAAAGGACAATCGTGTGAAGTTAGAATACCATGTCCATATAAGGTTGAGAGGAAAGTTTTGGTGTGGCTCTGTTTCTCCTAGTGTTCTGCTTGAAGAGTTTGTCCTGAAAAAAAGATCATATTGCTGTTTAAAGCAGGGGTCCTCAAACTTTTTCAGCAGGGGGCCAGTTGAAAGGTGCCGGCGATGGGCACGGGCCACCAAGGCTGTGCGGGTGGGGGAGGTGCATGTGTGCAGTGAAGCAGGGGTGTGTGTGCGTGCAGAGATCGTTTTCTCCGAGTGAGTCCAAAAGGATCTCCTTGCGAGCAAGCCGGTGCCTTGCCATGCACACGCATCCACAAACGCGGCAAGTCCAAAACCTCTGTGGCAGGCTAGATACTGCCCATGGGCCATAGTTTGAGGACCCATGCTTTAAAGCATAGAAATAGTTGGGGGGCAGTGAAGTGACACACTACATGACTGCAGTTTTATAAAATAAGCCACACTTTATTCTTCTCTCTCCAACATTCAGTATGGGATGTTGCTGTACCAGAACTATAGAATTCCACAACAGAGAACAGCACTGCTTCCACACTTCACCACTCCTGTGGTAAGTTTATAATTTCTAATACAGACCTCTTTTTCAAGAGTTTCAACAAGAAACTTCTTCCTGATACACAGTGACCTTGGAGTCAGCAAATGTTGGTACAAGGGGAATAAGATCACCTAAAAGTGGCTTGATGAGGGAATGAGCTGTGGGTGATACCATGATTAAAGCAGTGCTATTGTCTAAAGCAGGGTGGTCCAACACTCAGCCCATGGACCGCATGCGGCCCCCAAAGCCTTGTTCTACAGCCCTCTTGCTGCCCCCCTGTTCCCTCCCAGTGTGGATCCCAGAGGCTCAGGGAAAGAGTGGGTTGGGCTGGCAGCTTCACAAGAGCTTGCCCCAGCATGCCTCATTCTGTTCATCAGCAGGAGCAGGCAGGGCATGCTGGGAAGAGTTTGTTGACTCGGGTACAAGAGGCTCAGTGTGCCAGTTCCAAGAAGGAAGGAGGGGCTGGGGGGGGTCACATGGGAGGGTTTGCAGGTGAGAGAAATGGGGAGGAAAGGGACGGGCCACCCCAGAGGAGCAGTCATTGTTCTTGGTCTGTGGTCCGAGAAGCAGCTTTGTGTGATCTCTGCAGAGATCACAGGCTCACTCAGCTTTTAAAAAAATTAATTAGTCCTAAATTCATCTTAAAATTAAATTGTGTATATTCAATTAACTAAATATTTGTGAACACTTTAATTTATGATATGGAAATGTAATTCATTGTGCAGCACCCTGGTTCCATGGCAAAGTCCTCATGTGGCCTCAAGGTACAAAAAGTTGGACTGCCCTGGTCTAAAGCATCAAAACTCAAGGCTTATATCTATGTGTTTCACATTGACTGTGAAAGATGAGGCTTTTTGAGAAGAATTAAAGGAGTTGGATGTTTGAATCCTTACAGAGTTAGCATCTTTTAATTCATCTTTTTTGATTAAAGGAACACTCTGATTGTCTCTGGGAAAACATTTTAGGAACTACAGAATGTTCTAGTTTCCCCCTTCCATACTAGCGTGCCACTGCAGAAGTGTGACAACTTCCTCACCTGCAGTCAGAGCTTTTGCGAGGGGCCAGGGCTGTGCTGCAGATCTTCAGGAACCTAATGCCCTCCAACTCTCACCCACTCAAAAACATCTAATCGAATATCAGCAGAAAAGAGGATAGAGAGGTGAAAATCACCTCCAGGGGTCCTGCTGCTATGCTAAGAAAAGCATAGGATTCTCAGGGTGCTCCAGTTCTCCCTACTTTCCAAAATAAGAACTTAAATGACCTTGTAGATTTGCACGAATGCTGAAGTCTCAGGTGCCTGTTTGGTACCTTTGGCAAAGTTTTCTCCTGAGCCATGCTTTGCTTATGAGTATGCACTGCAGCTTCCCCCAATCTGGTACCCTCCAGATGTTCTGGACAATAGTTCCCAGCATTGTGACCAAGGACCATGCCAGCTGGGACCAAAGGGCACCAGACTGGGAAGGGCAAGTTTGATACATGAAGGTCACTGGGTTCCCAGCTTCCCACAACAGTTCTCCACCCACTGAAAAGGCTACTCAGACAGTCAGAAGACCCTGCTGAATAGGGTGAGCTATGATGTGTAGTGGGAGAACCTTGCACAAACAAAGCTCTTACTCTTGTGCCCAACCTTATTTCAAAACTAAAATAGAATAGAATAAAACAAATAATGAGAGCGTAAGGTTAGTCAAGCTATTCCTACCTTGAACAGCCTCTTGTTGAGATCTTAAGAGGAATGGCTGTGTATTCCATTTACACAATAGTTCCTTCTGTTGTGGCTTGGAGCAGTACCCACCTTTTGGATAGTGTTTGTATCTCTACAACTCTATCCCCAAGAAATGCAGCAGTGTTTCTCTCTTTCTCCTTTAAACAACTCTCTGAAGCTCAGTTGCCTTGTTCCTCCAAGCTTCCATATTGTATATGTTTGTTTTATGGTTCCAATCGTGACTTTATTCTAAGTTCAGTTTTGTTATGCTGTTATCTAATAAGTAGTAAAAATGATGCCTTATTTTGGCAGGCCCAAGAGCCTGACTTTCCCTGAGCAGCAGACCCCCCTGCCTACCCACCACAATGCTAGAACATAAGCTGCTTTTGAAAGTCCCTTTAGTTTCAAAAGTGATTTGCTGTCTGCTGGAGAATGGACTGCTTATAGACTCACTTGCTTGATTAGGCTGAACTAATTGCACTGTTCTGCAGATCGTGGCTGGAAAATCTCTGGGCAACATGATAGCTCATTTACTCCTATGGGCATGAAAGCTTGGTGTAGTAAAGCTCCATGACTGTACCCTTATTTATAATTCTTATTCTTTAGGCCCAGCATAGCCATGAATCTGTCAATACAAAGCTAAGATTAGTTTGGCAGTTTGAAATTTGGAAAGTGGTGAGGAGCTTTCAAATGCTGCTGCTGCTGATAATGACGATAAGGGCAATGATAATGAATAATAATAATCAGTAGCTTTGTTTCCTTTTTTTAAATAAATTGTTTCAGAGGAGTGTGTCTGAAAATTCCTTAGTAGCAATGGATTTTTCTGGACAAATCGGAAGAGTGATTGAGAATCCAGCAGAAGCACAGAGTGCAGCCTTGGAAGAAGGGCATGCTTGGAGGGTAAGGGAACCCCTGTGTCAGACAGGTTCCTGTGGTAACCTGAAAAGGCTTACAGCTATCCTAACACAATGCCTGACTGCAAAACCTGAACAGTGGAGCAAGAGAAGAGCAGATGATAACATTGCCAGCAGTAGCATGACTGTTGATGTAGGTAACGCTCTGAGTAATTTGATGCCATTGGTGGTAGCTGGAGAAATAGCTACATCCCATGCCAGCATTGCTGGGGATGGCTGTGTGCGTAAGGAAGGCAGTGCAGCATGCCCAGATGCACACATCCCCATCAGTATTCCCCTTTTTGCATTAATTGCATCAAGCAATAATATATCAGTATTATTTATCCAGTATTTTCAGCCTGCCCTTCTCCCTAGATTGCAGGATATCTCTTCTCCTCCCCATCAGTCCTTGGGGTAGATTAGACAGAGACACAGTGAGTGGCCTAAGATCATCAATTTATGGCTAAGCAGGAATTTGAACTCAGTTCCAAAGAGGAAATGCCCCTGCCTTGATTGATGTAAGACAATTCAGTTCTTTTGTTTGTTGATGGTGGATCCAACAACTTCCATAATTAAAGCAAGTTTAATTTGATTCTCATTCCATATAGGCAAAAGACAGAGTGCCCACATCCTGCATCCATCATCCTATTCTTGTAGCAGAAAAGCATGTTTTATAACAGTGTTATTAGGATACAAGGACTGGAGATCCTTGCCTTGACTGTCCAGTTTGGCAGAAGGATGGCAGCATGGCTATTTTAAATGTAAATGTGAATCACCTTTCCAGAATTTGTTGTTTCATCCTGCCTTTTCTCTGGAGAGCTCAGGGTAGTGTGCACAGTGGTTCTCTTCCCCCAGCCCCCTTCGTAGTCTTGCTGGTTGGTTGTGGGATAGCAGACAGTGATTGCTATAAAGTCATTCACTGCCTTGGAATGGAAAGCTGAGGCAGGAATTAAACACCACACTTTTTAAAAAGTTAAATTGGCCATCACTCGCACATCCTCACTAGACTGCATATCATTTTCTGTAACGGCATCAAGAAAGTAGAAGAGTTTCAACCTTTGTAGCTGTAGCATTTTGTTTTTGTTTTGAACTAGCCATTTAACAGCAAAAGATTGACTGGCGTTTTCTGCTGACTATTTTGTTCTGCAGAAACGCAGCACAAGAATGAACATCTTGGGTAGTCAAAGTCCACTTCATCCTTCCACATTGAGCACAGGTGAGAATAAAACTGGAACTGATATATACATAAAGTTAGATGTTGCATTAATTCCAATTAATTAAAACCAAGCCCCTGATTACCTCTCTTTCATTGATGTCCCTAAAGTATGATTGCTGCTTTAGTGACAGAAGGTTCAAGTATATATTTTTTCCTTTCACATGCTTACAAAGAATCCATGGTGTGTTCACCAAGTTTGACCCTGCAAACCAGTGTCTTGGCATATATAGAAACAGAGCGAGTCAGAAGGGGTCTCCCGGACCATCTAGTCTGACCTCCGGCACCAGCCGGCTCCACTCATGACATGCCCACCATGTGGACGTCCAGCCTATCCTTGAACACCTGCACCGATGGGGCCTCAATGACCTCCTGTGGAAGCTCATTCCATACCCTTAGGGACCTGACTGTCAGGAAGTGCTTCCCTCATTCGCACCTCATATGGCATCCCCTGCAAACTGGCCACCAACCTTGTGGCCCTGCGCTGCACTGACTCCAACCTGGCTATATCCTTTCTGTAATGAGGGGCCCAAAACTGAACACAATACTCCAGCTGCGGGCGCACTAGAGTCGTGTAGAGTGGTAGTAATACCTCTCTTGATCTAGAAGCCACACTTCCGGCTATGCAACCAAGGCGTTCGCCCTCTTGACCACCACATCACACTGCTGACTCATGATTAGCCTGCAGTCAACCCATACCCCAAGGTCCCTTTCACAAGTGCTGCTCTTCAGCCACTTGTCACCTAACCTGTACTTATGACACTTATTCCTATACCCCAAGTGCAAGACCTTGCACTTATCCACATTGAACGCCATCCTGTTGTCTCCTGCCCACTTCCATAGTCTGTCCAGATCCTTTTGGATCTGGAGTACCTGCTCCTCAGTTGTGGCCACTGCTCCAGTTTTAGTGTCGTCTGCGAATTTGATCAGCAGACTGTTCACCCCTTCTTCCATGTCGTTAATGAAAAGATTAAACAGGATCGGCCCCAGGACAGAGCCCTGGGGGACCCCGCTTGTCACTGGCCGCCATCCCGATGATTCCCCGCTAATGGTTACCTTCTGCTCTCGGTCAGTCAACCATGCCCTAATCCACCGGACAGTGCTTTAGTGTATCCCAAAACTCAGGTTCTCCACCAGGATATCATGGGGCACTTTGTCAAAGGCCTTGCTGAAATCCAGGTATACCACATCCACTGCATCCCCTCCATCTAGCCATCTTGAAACCTTGTCATAGAATTCCACAAGGTTTGTCTGGCAGGACCTGTTTTTGCGGAAGCCGTGTTGTGTGGCTGTCAGCCTCCCTTCCCTATCTAGCATCACTGGATCTCTCTCTATTATGAGCCTTTCCATTGTTTTTCCTGCAATGGACGTAAGGCTAACCGGTCTATAATTCCCCATGTCCTTTCTACTACCCTTTTTGAAAATTGGGACCACTGATGCCACCCTCCACTCCTCTGGAACTTCACCCGTTCTCCACGAGGTCTCAAAAATGGAGGCCAGCGGGCGTGAGAGAACCCCTGCCAACTCTCTAAGTACTCTCGGGTGTAACCCATCAGGGCCTGGCGCCTTTGCAATGTCCAATGCCCTGAGGAGCCCCTCGACTTCAAGGGGGGTAACTCTAATCTGTGCCCCTAAGTCTCCAGCCTCATCTAATCTCCTATGCGGATATCCCCCGTCCTGCTTTGGGGAGAACACAGAGGCAAAATAGTCATTTAGCATCTGTGCCTGTTCCCGCATATCAGTCACTGAATCTCCTTCCTCCTTATTTAGTGGTCCCACCACTTGTCTCCCCTTCCTCTTGCTATTTACATGCTGAAAGAAGCCCTTTTTGTTGCTCTTGATATTCTTGGCAAGTCTCAGCTCGTAATCAGCCTTAGCCTTGCGAAGAATCCTTCTGCAACGGGCCTCTTCCTTCCGGTATACCCTTTTGTCTATTTCCCCCAGTACCCATTTCCTGTGGAGGTTCCTCTTTCGTCTAATCCCTCTAACCACCTCCTTTCACATCCATGGCGGCACTCTCCTCCGCCTCCCCACCTTACTGACTAGAGGTATCATCAAGGCTTGCGCCGCCAAAACCTCCCTTTTGAGTGCCATCCACCCCTCCTCAATTCACTTACCTTCCAGCAACCTATCCCAGTAGACTTTTCCCAGTCTGGCCTTAAGTTGTCCAAAGTTGGCCCTCTTGAAGTCCTAGCTTCTAGTGCTCGACTTGCTGCACGTCCCCAGTCCCCTGATCTCAAAGCAAAGGATGGAGTGATCATTCGCATCCAGAGCTCCCCTAATCTGTACTTCATCTATCAGCTCCTCCCTATTGGTCAAGACCAAGTCAAGGATGGTGCCCCCCTTCATCGTCTCTCGGACCCTCTGTGTGAAAAACCCTCCCTCTATAGCTTCTAGGAAGTGACGTGACCTGGCTGTCACCGCCAAGTGAGACTCCCAAGTAATATCTGGGCGATTGAAATCTCCCATAATTACTGTGTCTCTCCCCTGAGATATCCTTAGAATCTGGTCTGTCTCAGGACATCATCCAGTGTCACAAGTTGACCTGGAGGGCGATAACATTCCCCCACTGTCAGGTCTCTTTCCCTGTCAAACCCCTAAGTTTCACCCAGACGGCTTCTACCGAATCCCCATCTGTGCTGCATTCTATCTCACTGCATCTTACCCCTTCCCTGACGTATAAAGCCACGCCCCCACCTCTCTTTCCCTTCCTGTCCTTTCTGAAAAGGTGATACCCTTCTATGTTCACATTCCAGACTTGCCTTTCATCCCACCAAGTTTCTGTGATTCCCATCAGATCATATCCTCCTGTTCCCAGGAGAGCTTCAAGCTCTTCCTGCTTATTACCCATGCTCCTTCGTTCCCACCACGTTCCTTCTGGCACCACACCCTAAGCCAGTTGTTCACCTTAGAGGCCCTCCTGTCCCTTCCTGGCCCAAATCCTCGGACAGGAAAGATTGACGAGAAGGCCACTTGGGCCTTCAGCTCCCTGAGTTTCTTCCCCAAGGCCTCAAAGTGCCTGGTGGTCCCAACCACACCCTGCCTGGCCACATTGTTTGTGCCCACATGGATCAACAGGAGCGGCTGGTGACCCCCAGAGCGAACAAGACGCTCCACTCTGTCCTTCACATGCCGGATGCGTGCGCCCAGCAGGCAGCAAGCCTCCCTTGTCTCCAGGTTGGGGTGGCACACCGCCGCCTCAGTGCCCCTCAGCAGGGAGTCCCCAACAACAATCATCTGCCGCCGTACCTTCCTGGTGCTGGTGGGCAGCCATGCCCTGGCCCTCGCCTCTCCTGCAGCGGCCCCCTTGCCACCTGACATCTCAGGCTGGGGGTCCTGCAGGTCCCCCAGGGCCTCATCAGCCCCAGCCTCCCCAAGTGGAGAGAACCTGTTTCCCAGCTCCAGATTGCTGCCAGGAGAAGGAGGAGGCCATGCTGGCTGCCTCCTCCTGTGGGTGACATACCTCCATGTCTCTGCAGCTGCTCCTCCCGTGGTCTCTCCCTCAACCCTCTGTCCAGAGGGGGGCTGCTCCAGGGGGGCCTGGAGAGCTCTCTCGGCCCTCAGGCACCTCACCTCCTCTTCTAGCAGGGTCACCATCTTGCACCGAGGGCAAGTGTATCCCTGCCTCTCCTGGGGGAGAAGGGTGAACATGTTGCAGCCGTCGCAGCGGACAGCAACACCCGTGACTCCCGCCAAGGCCATCTCCTGGTCTGCCATTGGGATCCCTTCCAAGACCTTACCTTGGTCCCCTGCCTTGTCTGTCCTGCAGTTCCTCTCACTCGCCCAGTTCTCCCAGACAAAAACCCACTCGCACACACACACAAGGATAAAATAAACTTAATTTGGAAGAAAAACAAAGCAAAGCACAGCACAAACAAAACAAACAAACAAACAAACCTCTGTGTCTCAGGGAAGGGAGTCTCCGGACAGCCCGGGCCACAGCCAAGGGATGCAGCCAAGGGACGACGCCCAACGGCTGAGCACGGCCTTATCAGTCCCTCAGGCCGGTGGCCCCACCTGTCCGCTTCCTCCTGGCCCCTCTAGCCTCTCTGGCCCCACCCCCTTCCTCTCCGCTGCTCCTGGCCCTCTGCTCCCCTGCCCAGCTCTTACCTTGCCTTTGCCAGTCCCCTGGCCACTCAGCACTCTCTCCCAGCCTGTGCCTCTGCTGCTCTGCCAATAGGCCAGAGCCAAAAGGGATATACTTGGGCTGGATCAGTCTTGGACCTCTCTTAATATTGGTAGAATTATAGAATTCTGGAAATAGCCAGAACTATGTGATAGCAGTTGCACAGACAATGTATATTTTGTACCTTGGAAATCATGGTGCCTCCCCTGAACAGCACATTTGTTTGCAGTGCAGAATGTGTTGACACAAGTTTCACAGCGTTGTATTGGGTAGCATTTGTGTCAAGTGGCAGAACTGTCTTTGCCCCCACCCTCAGATGTGCCTGTGTTCTTTTATGATCATTCCTCTTTTATTCAATTTTTAGGGTTTTAAACCTATCTTTGGGAAGTTTTGTGCTTCATCACGGTGCACTGTTGTAAAGAACTGTATATCTCTATATAAAAGATGTAGATGCAAAGGACAGATCATCAGTACTACTTAGACCCTTGGTAGCCTCTTGCCCCCTTGTACTAGACTTGTGTGCTGGCAGTTGACTAGATTGAATCACAGAAATTTGTCCCTAAATGCACGTTGCATTTCCTGAATTAGAAAACGTCACATGAGTTTAGAGAAGCATGGGATAGGAATGTGTATGTGCACTGGCTGCTCACATTTGTGTTTCCTAAAATGCCATAGAATGATCAGGCCAGTGTTGCACAAAATAAAAAACAAAAACAGGGCAATATGTGTATCCCTGCAGAATCATTGGAAGTGTTGGGGAAATGTACTTGAAAATCTATGTAGTACAACATACTGGAACGTAACCATTTATTTCTCCTTTAGTTATTCATAGGACACAGCACTGGTTTCATGGCAGGATCTCTAGAGAAGAATCACACAGGATCATAAAACAGCAGGGGCTTGTAGATGGGTATGCATTTTCCACTGATTATATAACATTTGCCTCAAGTTCATAATCATGATCTTAGTGTCTTTATACACATGCACTTGGCCTACATGGCATGAAAAGCCTGTGGCATCATGGTACTTGGAAAATAAAAGAAACAGTAATGTGTTTTTACTGAAAATGTATAGGAAAGCAGGAAGCTACCTCATGCCATTAGTCCATCTAGCTCACTATGGCTCTCCATAGTTTTATGTGGGGATCTGTGCTGTCCCTTCCTGGAGGAGCCAGGTTTTGAAAGTGGGACCTTCTGCATGCAGAGCATGTGTTCCTCCTCTGAACTATAGCTCTTGCCTAGGGTCACTCTTATGGGAATGCTTATGTGAGAATATTCAAGGCATGCAGTTTTCTTGCTCTGGCCTTGAACACACCTGATAGAAGCCTAAAAACATGTGCTTGAATTTTGTTCTCTTTTTCCCCTTGAATATCTACAAGGTTGTCACAATTTTGTCACAGTTCATCAGCCAAATAACAGACTAACAGACCCATGCTGATATCATACTAAAACATTAATTTAGGTTAATCTGAGTAGTCAGTTTAATTGTAATGTATCATGTTGTTTCCTAGGCTATTTCTACTTCGGGACAGCCAGAGTAACCCAAAGGCATTTGTGCTTACTTTGTGTCACCATCAAAAAATTAAGCATTTTCAAATTTTGCCAGTAAGTATATTAATTTGTAGGTATGGTACAGTTTTTGTCATAGAGTTTATTAAAGATTTTTCAAGACCCATACAGTTGACCCCAAGCAGGAGTTGCACTTGTGTCTTTCTCTAAATCTGTAATATTGAATGGTGCCACCTCACTGATCTGGCCCATCTGTTCCAGCTCCATCCAGTGCACCCACATGGCTGTGAAATCCCTGAATATGACCTGTGCATGAAAATTCCAGTGTGCAACAGACCAAATTACCCAGTCAACCCCCTGGGTAATATGCAGTAATGGACTGTTCTCTTTTGACCTACTGTGCATGTAGGCTCTCTCTGGATGTTTTATCCTAACATAGTTGGCAGAGACATGGTGATGGGGAAAAAAGCCACACACTCTCTTTTCTCCAGATGTTGGACTGGATCAGGCAGGAAGGATTAGGCTTCAGCAGCTCTGAAGAAAATGAAACAAGTCAGAAAAAGATATGGTACACTTTCATTGATAATAATATTATGGAGGAATGTCTTCTGTAATTCCTGGGTGTTCTGGATGGTTCAAAAAAAATTAGAATCCTAAAATTGAACATACTGAAGCACTACATGTGCATGCATGCACACGTACACAGAGCTATTAAAATTTGAAAACAGTATGAAAACTAAATGAAATGCAAAGTAAAAGCTAGCAGCAATATCAAGATCAAAAAATAAAATAGGAAATGTTTAAAAACAAAAGTTGAAGGACTAAAAAGCCTCAAGTGATGGCCAATTCCTCACTTGGTGCTGAAAAGTTTGCATTGTAGAGAGCAAACCAGACTTCTGGGTAGGGCAATCCACAGCCAGGGTGCCACCACTGAAAAGGCCTTATTCATATAACTTACTGCGGTAATCTAGAGTAAGGATTACTTGGGTACGGATAGCTGTAGCTAGCTGTCTAGGTAGGGCTATATTGCTATATTGGCCTAAGCTGATGAAAGGTGTTCTGTGCCACATAGTGCTCTGTGCCACTATGACCTGTGCTTCCAATGACAATGCAGGATGTAAGATCCAAATTAACCCTCCAGAACAATTTGAACACCACTTAGTCAGGCAGACTAATTGTGAATTCAAAATTCATATTTCAGTTCTTTACAGTGGTGCAATTAACAGATATGTTACAGAAATCTGGCACTTAAATTCAGTATCAGCTTTGGTGTTTATAAATAAATTTTAAAGAGTTTGCCAAGTTCCTGAGAGTGGAGTGGATGGGGTGGGGGAAATAATAGAAGTGAAGAAAAGAAGGAGAAAGACCAAGATAATGGGATGCATATGGACAAATGCAATTATACACATATTAACCTTCATTTGTACTAGGGATTTGAGCTAAGGGATTGTGCGAAACGGGTTCACAGAAATGGTAGAGCTTTTGTTCTGCTCCAGAATTTCCAATGTGAAATTTAAATCTTGAATTTCAGATTTATTTAAATGTCATTTTAACTTGCTCAAAATTCTACAGTTCATTCTTAGCTTAAGATAATTTTTATCAATTAATACCCTTATTTGATGTCTCTTATGTCTAACTTCAAAAGAACTTTATTATTATTATTTCTCAAGTGTGAAGATGATGGACAGATATTTTTCAGCCTGGATGATGGGAACACGAAATTCACTGACCTAATACAGCTTGTTGAGTTCTACCAACTAAACAAGGGAATTTTGCCCTGTAAACTCAAACACCACTGCATCCGTGTGGCCTTATGACCTCTGTTCTGATCCCTTGCTGAAGGACTGGCTTTGATCAAAGACTGGAGTTGCTAGAGAATATTGTAAAAGGAAGTTGACACTGGGACATTAGCAGTTGTGTTCTTTGTTTTTGCTTTTTTAAAAGAACACAACACAATTATGCACCTTGAGGACTCAGAAAGGGATGAGTTGAGCTGGTGCCAACAGACCAAGATTTTGCTGTTTTGGATAACACCCAAGCATGATTGCTGCTCAGTGTCCCAACAACCCCCCAAAATTGGGAAAGGGTATATAAAATCACTAAACAAAACTGGAAACTGTCCCTTGGCTGGTCCACTAAACTGAATCAAGTTTGTGAAGCAAAATTATTGAAAAGAACACTTGCCCTGGAATAATCTTGACAATTTAAGACTTAGTGTGTTTACTTTTTGTATTGATCACTCTCTTTATTTTTGTTTGTTTGTTTTTGCACTCCTTTTTTTTGGGTATTGCATATGGCCTATATCAGGAGCTGATACAGCTTTTAAATATATGCAGGATTTGGGTATGAACCTAAACTAAACCCTGCATTGCATGCATTATTTGAGCCTAACAAAGATTTGGAAGACAGAAATATGTCTAACATCTCTGGAGACCGGAGGCTCTGTCATGTTTGATGCTCTTGAAGAAACAATATGGATACATCTCTGAAAAAACCCCCACACTTACCACCACATGTACCCTTTACAGCAATTATTTTCTGACATAAAGATTGTGGCCTGTGTGCAGTATGTTAGTGACCGGTAGTCATACAAAGGACTCTGATTCTATGCACAAATGTTTTGAAATCATTTTATTACTCAGAATATGTTTCCTCTACGTCACTTGCTTGAAAATGAAAGAGCGACCATAGATGAATTTGGAATTGGTTAAGTCTCTCTCATGCACTCCCTGTGTGCATGTGTGTGTGTGCACACACTTCTTGTTGGGATTCAGTTGTTTGGTCTGTCTCCTATGTGGGTGCTTCCAGTTGGAGACCTCCTGGCACAACCAGTCACATGGAATTCTGTTCATTTTTCTAAATGGTTTTTCTGGAAAAAGAAGAGGTAAAAGAAGTGGTGGGAAAACTTAGGTGGGTTATGAGAGGAAGATGTTGTTCAAGCACAGACATGATCCCCCCATAAACTTATGTAAATGAGGCTAGGCACTGGTGCTATAAAAGCCTCAACTAGAAGCACCTGAAGACAAATTCAGTGTTTTTATTATTAGCATTATTTCTTTTTCACAGTATCATAGAGCACTGCCCTATCTCTTAACTCATTACGAGTGTGCTGAAGCTCACATGCTTCTTCTCTGAACCTGCATTTTTGTAACCAAAGCATGAACTTCTAATTTTGCTTGTGAATAGCAGCTTGCTGCATTCTGCAGTGCAAATGCTGTGGCAGATGGAACCCTATAATTTGCTCCAAAACAGAAAGAGGGAAACAGCCATGCAGTACTCCAAGAACCAAAACAGACATAATTTTAAATAGATTGCTTTTTTTGCAATAGAAATTGCATATCCTGCCTCATTCAGATCAGGCCACTTTGAGGGAAGGGGAAAGGTTTAAAGTGCCCCTGTCCCATACTAAGGGCCCAGTCCAGATTGGGATCCCTGCATCTAGCAGAAAAATGGAAGGGAAAAGATGTAGTTCCCAGCTACATGTTTAAAGTAGGGTCTGTTTTGGCCTAGTTAGTTTCCAGCTGGGCCACTGGGGGGAGAATTCCATAAATTCAGGTGTAGTTTTCCTGAGTAATGAGAGTAATGTGAGACTGAGGTTCAGCCAGGGAATGTGAGGAACAGCTTCTTCAATTGAGCTTGCATTCTTGGAGTGCCAAAGCTTATACTGTGACTCTGTGCAAAACTGGGCATAATCCATCAGGCACCACAATGCAGCCTTTCCATCCATTTAAATCCCGTTGCAAAGGAAACGTGCAAGTGCCACTAGACTATTTGGAAGTTAATGTGCAGCAGCAACAGCTGAATGGCCTGGAGCATTTATTTGGGAGTTATGTGTTCAGTCATCCATGCCATTGCTGGATTTACCATGGACAATTCAGATACTTGGGACTATATGCACTAAAATACTAAGTGCCAGTATCTGTTGGCAAGCTCATTTGATCTTGCTCCAATCCCAGTTAGTCATAAGACTAAAAGGCTTGGTTTCAGCCTGCTAAAACCTTCAGGGTGGAATGTTCATGTGGCCCTGGCTGTGTGGCGCAAGCAACACTTGTCCCACACTGATAGGTGCACTTTCCTAGCTGTAGTTTGGGCAAGTGTGGCAAGTAAAATATAAGCCATTGAAAAGTGATGCCTGTCATCTTAGTCATGCTGAATCAAGTATTACTAACCCCACATGGCTGTTGACACGGGGATGTGCCATGTGCAGGGCTTACAACATCTTAATCAGAGCAATCTCTTGGTAGTAGTTACGCGTAGGTTATTCCATGTTTACATAGTAATGCTTTTTTCCTTCTGGAGATAGGTAAAATTAAAGTAAGGTCAATATTAAGGCTGTCAGGTTGGAGCTGATAGTCAAGTACACACAGAAAATATTCATGTGCTTTGCATGGTTTATAAAGCAAGAAGTGTATTCACCCTAGGAATGTTCAGAATTACTGTTGCAAGTTGAATATCTTCTTTCTCCAAAGGTCTTATTAAATCACTTTATGCAGGTTAAATTTATACTGATTATTTCATCTAATAGCCCACCTGGATGACTAAAGTTGGGGAAACCTTTCTTTATTCACAAGGTATTCATATAGTGTTGAGGGTAGCTTAAGGTAATATAACAGCTTAAGTCATACTTATCTTTTCTTGGTATAGAAACACTGTATTTTAGTTTACAGGACACATTCTAGTACCCCTTTTCCATGAAATGTCTATGTATACAATGAAGAAACTTGATTTAGTTCTTTACTAGAAACTTCTTGATTTTTATGTGTACATGTTAAATTTTTCCATGTTCTTTTTTGTCAATGTTTTAAACATCAAAGTAAGCTAAGCTGAGTCTCTGACTTCATTGTGCATTTTCTGATTTACCCGCCCTCCTAGCTTCCCCCTCAAATTGACTTGTGTGAATTTAACATTCTCATTCTCCAGTTTCAACGAGACCATTTAGCGTTTTCAAAAATTAAGTTCTTGTGTTTACATAGCTTATTCCAATAATGCGATTCCCCAGCAATGGTTGCATATTTATAAAACTTGGATTTTTATTTAATTTGAGAATAAAAATTTTGACTATCAAGCATGATTTTGTATGTAGAAGGCTATTTTGTACATCTTTGCCCAACTGATGAGCTGTTTTATTTTTTAAATTAGCCACCTCAAAGTGGCCGCTATGTTACTTGAGCACACCATTATTGTTCCCCCATGTTTTTAAAGCTGGAAATGAAAGTTTAACAATATTACCCTAAATATCTCCAGCAGATACAGCTGGCTGGCAGCTTAGAAACCAAGGACTGATGGACATTTGACTTCCTAATTTTTTCTATTTAAATGA